TTATCAAAATCTGGTGTGCATTAAAACCAAAGGAGAGAATACATATTTTTAATAGAAACTCACATATTCAAATGGTCCTGGATCTCCATATAAATGGGTCTTAGAAATACAAAGAATGTTGAAAACATGTAAAAATAATTGACATATAGACACATTTTCTGATTATGAACATGTTATTGTAATTTAGAATCCAGCTAATATGTTCATTGGGTGATGCAAATGGTTTGAGCTCAAATACTAACCTGAAGATATGGTGATTCAAACCCACATTTCAGTGGTATGAAATAACGACCTATTGATCTACTTTTCTAAAGACTAATGCCAAGAAAACCCTATGGAAAAATTCTATTCTGTAACACATAGGTTCCTTATAACTGGGAACCAACTTGATGACAACCATGTTTTTTTACTTTTTAAATGTGGTCTGTCCCTTTTTGGTTGTTTTATAAATATTCCAAATCAAGAGACTTTATGGCAGTGTGCTTTAACAAAACTAAAGTACATATGAGTGCTTCTGAAAAAGTACCAATTTTAGTTGAGTAGATTCTGACTCATGGTGACAGAGTGTGTGTTAGAGCAGAACTTTGCACCATGGGGTTTTCAATAATTAATTTTCTGAAGATGTCCCTGGATGGGCTCTAACATTTTGTTTAGCAGCAAAGTGTGCTAATTGTTTGCTCACTCTAGGATTGTTTCTTCTTGTTGTTGTTGCTGTTGTTATGTGCTGTCGAGTCGTACCCGACTCATAGCAACCCCTCCTTGGGTTTCCGAGGAAGTATCATTACGGAAGTAGATTGCCCAGCCTTCCTTCTGAGGAGTGGCTGGTGGGTTTGAACTGCCAGCCTTCTGGTTAACAGGTGAGTGCTTTCGGCATTATGCTACCAGAGGTCCTGGATTGTTTCTTAGTGTTCTTTAACTGATTTTTTTTTTAAAGGAAGAATAGGTCTTATTGCATTTGTTTCCATCAGACAGTGCTTATATATAGTCCCTTCTAGAGATTTGTTAAAATGTCCTTGCCACTCTAACATTATTTGGGCCATGTTTCTAAAGTGAGTGTGTACAGGAACAGGTGAACACGACAAAAACAATGAGGGAAGAGTTCTGAGAAGTAAAGTGGTTTGATATGCTAAAACCCAGTAATAATGCTGGAGGTGCTCAAGCATGAACACTTGTGAATTTCCATGCTTTACTTGTGAGTTTCTTGAATTCAAAATATAGACACTGTACTGGGTGTCTCTTTACTTGTTTTATTTACCAATCATCTTTTTTTTTTTTTTTTTCCCCAAAAAGCTGTCTCAGGTCCATGGAGCTACAGAATCTAACAGGTGTCTCAGAATTCCTTCTCCTGGGCCTTTCTGAGGATCCAGAAGAGCAGCCCGTCCTCTTTGGTCTGTTCCTGTCCATGTACCTGATCACTGTGGCTGGTAACTTGCTCATTATCCTAGCCACCAGCTCTGACTCCCACCTGCACACCCCCATGTACTTCTTCCTCTCCAATCTGTCATTGGCTGACATTGGTTTCATCTCCACCACAGTCCCAAAGATGCTAGTGAACATCCAGTCGCAGAGAAAAGCCATCTCTTATGTGGACTGCTTAACGCAATTGTCTTTTTTTTATCTCTTTGGATGTCTGGACAATCTATTACTCACTGCAATGGCTTATGACCGGCTTGTGGCCATCTGTGACCCCTTGCACTACACAGTCATCATGAACCCCCGCCTCTGTGGTTTGGTAGTTTTAGTATCTTTTTTCATAGGCCTTTTGGAGTCTCAGCTGCACGTTTCAATGGTGTCACAACTTACTTTCTGCACAGATGTGGAAGTCCCTAGTTTCTTCTGCGACCCTTCTCAACTCTTTAACCTTGCGTGTTCTGACACCTCCACTAATGCCATACTAATATATTGCATTGGTGCTGTCTTTGGTGGTGTTCCAGGCTTGGTGATCCTTTTCTCTTACACTCGAATTATTTCCTCCATTCTGAAAGTCTCATTTTCAAGTGGGAAATATAAAGCCTTTTCCACCTGTGGCTCTCACCTGTCAGTTGTTTGTTTATTTTATGGAACAGGCCTTGGAGTGTACTTCAGTTCAGCTGTCTCATCTTCTGCCAGAAAAGGTGCTGTGGCCTCAGTGATGTACACTGTGGTCACCCCCATGCTGAACCCCTTCATTTACAGCCTGAGGAACAGGGACATCAAGAGAGCCCTGCAGAAGCTCTTCAGCAGAATATTCTGACCTCAAAATTGGTTCCATTGTTTTGTTGTTGATATGTGTGAGTTGAGGAAGATGGAAAATCTGAACATCTGCAAGCAGAAATCTTGCCTTTTCTATTGCATAATTTTTAGAGCTTTCATAGATTTGCATTTTGAGTTTTCATCTGTGAGCAATGGTTCCTTTGATACATGTTTATTGGGGTTTTAGGAGTATTGTGCAATATGTCAGTCTACATGACCATCCCATTATAGCTATGTGGCCTCCTGTAGCTTCTCCCCTATGGTCCAAGTTTCCTGGTAAAATTATGCAGCTCTGTTTTTATGTACTTAGAATCTTCATCCTTTGTCATAATTCATATCTATAACCCAAACTATTTTGTATCTAATAGAACTATATATGCAGATAATGTGTGAGAACCCATGATCTTGAACCTTGACTTCATATTTGAATCATCTGGGAAGCTGAAAGGATGGGTATATTTGTTCCATCACTATGGATTCTGATCTGTGAGGAATGGTAGGTGGATTGAACATAAGATGTTTAAAACACCTCTTTGTTGTTATTGTTATGTGCCATGGAGTCAGACGTGACTCACAGCCACCCCTCCTTCAGTTTCCAAGGTAGTATCACTACGGAAGTAGATTCCTCAACCTTCCTACCAAGGAGTGGCTGGTGGGTTTGAACTGCTAGCCTTCTGGTTAGCAGTCAAGTTCCTTAGGCACTATGCTACCAGAGCACCGCAAGTGGTATTAAGTGCAGCCAAGTTGAGAACAATAAAGCATTTTAGAGTTTTCCTTCAGAGTTAACCAGTTTGTTGTGGATCTTCCACTTGTTCTGAAGAGATGTAAAGACTTCAAAGTAATCAGAGCTCAAAAGGGAAATATATGAAAGAACTTACTTGGGCTTAATTTATAGCAAGTGTTGTGAGGATGGTTCTTGAGCAGGGAGTGTTTCATTCTGTTGTACATAGAGTCGTTATGAGTCAGAGTTGACTCAGTGGCACCTAACAACAACTCTAAGGACAGGCAAGTGATTTTTCCAAGTATCTTTGATGATATTTCTTCTTGTATCTTCTTCCTCTACTTCATTTTGTTGTTAGTTACTCATTAGTTGGCTCCCTGTCATATGGTGACTCTAGGTATAACAGAAGAAAATGCTGCCTGGTCTTGCATCATCACTTTGATCATTTTAAATCAACTTATAGTGGTCCATAGGGTTTTCCTTTACTGTTTTTTGAAAGTAGATCACCTGTCTTCCTTACTAGTCCATGTAGAATCTCTGCTGAAACCTGGATACATTTTAGCAACATTCAATCCTCTTATTACAGATGTGGGCT